TCCTTTACTAGCCTCTCAAAACATTTCATGATGATGGATGTATGTGCAACTCGACAATAATCATAGAGACCAATAATTGTAGACTTTTTTGGCACTGGCAAAATAACTTCCATCTTAAAATATGATGGGACCACTGCCTGCTGCAACAAAAGATTGAAAATATCTGTAACAACACAAGCACATTCCCTAAGAATACATCCAGAGGTATTATCTGGGCCTGCTGCTTTCCGAATGTTAACTTTCCGCAATGTTTTTGGCTCTAAGGAGCGAGCATTAGCAAACAAAATATGGTAGTGGGACTGTATATGGTTTAGCCTTTAGCCTAATTGTTAGTTTGCCACATTTCCTCTTTCGGTTACACTGCCTCCTCTTCTGAAGACAGTCAGTGCTGGAGGGGAACTTCTCTCCTGCAAAGGCTGCCACCCCCACTGCCTCCAACACCCAAACACTGCCTCCATCACACAACGTTGACTCTACCTCCAGCTGTTTCGTCTCTTCCTTCAGGCACCTCCAGAGAATGCAGGTGATAACTCACCCTCTGTGCAAACTGCTGGTACTTTTGCTGCTGACTCTTTCCACCGAGGTAATCCAAAGCAATGCAGACTCTTCAGAACAGCTTCATCAATAATTCCTTTGCTAAATATCTCCATATCCAATATGGACTGACATTCATACAACAGTTTAGCAACACAATTCCACTTTCTTGTCTCAATTCTCAAAAAGTCACTCAATAAGGATGGCTCATTCATCTTTAAAACCCCAACGTTTTTGAGAGCTGAAGTAGCTGCAGCCAAGCAAGGCGTCGCCATTTTGGAAGTCAGGAATGTTCTTTAGTGCTGTAGAAGGCAGTGCCATGGTTCACATGGTTAGGACACTGGGCTGACAATTGGCAGGCTCACATTTGGTTGCTGCTGCATGATGGGGTGAGCTCCCATCAAACTTTCTTATAGTTGAAGCTGAATGATATATTTCTTCACGTATGTGAGAAAAAATTAATTATAATGTAATGTTTCATTCCGTTCAAAAACTCACTAGGCTTTAGCCTTTAGCCTGAATAAAGCCTAGTGAGTTTTTGAATGGAAATCAGAATAATATATCATGCAACAATAAAAATAATCCTGAATAAAAGGTATATTCCTTTTATTAATATCACAAAAATAATACTTCATTTTCAAATAGTATTACTAAATTATCTATTTTTAAATTACTCAATTGGTACAGTATATTTTGTCTCCATAGACAAACAACATAATATGATAAATAAAACTGAAGTTAATAAATATAATAGGATGTGTGTATTTTTGTCGGTTGAATAAATACAATAATTGGAAATAATCTCCATCATTCATCCATCCATCATCTTAGCCAAGTGAGAAACATCAGTATGGAACATCATTAAAGGAAATGAATAAAGGAGAGAAAAAGAAAGCATGGTCACCAACAGTTTTTTCAGGTATCACATCTTTGTGGCCAATACTTTGAGCATGAATGCTTGCTGCAAAAAGTCTCTGCTGTTCTAACAGGGATCATACGAACGTAGTACATGTATATGCTGTTCAGCAGATATAAGAAGACAATAAGAAACCTTTCATATATTATATCAGCATCAGGTTCTAGAACAGATCAAGGATGTAGTTGTTTTTTCCCCCCAAAGGAATAGATGACAACAGCAATTTAAAAAAAATATATGGGGCTTGCCCAGTAACCCTCTTTTTCAATGTCTGAGCAATATTTTTACAGGTGGGAACTGTTTTATTCTTTTTATATGTTGAACATGCTTTTAAATAACATACATATTTATATCATCACAGTAATCCTTTGACCAAATTGAATGCAACAAATGTATTTGAAAAATATTAACACTTGTCATTTGGGTTTCTGTGTCTTTCTTTGCAATAGTGCAAACTGAAATGCAGTAGAAAATTACTACTTCATATAACTATTGCCTGTTATCTACTACACTTGTGCCCTGTGAGGCACTTTTCATAGCAAAAGGAATGAGCATAACAAACTCTATTGTCATGAGGTTGTCTTTGATGTACATTGCACAAACAAGCTTTTTATGGATCTTCTGTTGCAGAAATGTTTGATCCATAATATATCAGCAAAAAAACACACACACAAAAAAACCCAAAAAATAAATACTGTACAGAAAAGGCACAAGGTTTCTAGTAAAGCACATTAATCTAGTGAGACAATACAGATAAATGAATGCTTCCTCTGGAACTGCAGAATGGGATGATGGAAATCAATCAGAGCAAGATTCTAATTTAAAAAAAAAACAGAATAATCTACATGGTATAGGCACATGATCAACCCTCTTCTACTTACATTTTGTAAAATGAATTTCATTTATTTTGAAATAAAGTAAGCCATTTATAAACCCTGGCTCTTGATAAACCAAGTAGTTAATTTGTTAGAAAAGGATTTATTTCTTATTTCCATGAGAAGGCAGGACTAATCATAAATTTCTTATTGTCCTCAGAGTGGAGAGCATGTTAGGCTACAGTTTCACAACCAATGCTCTAAGGCCAATGGTGGGATTCAGCCAGTTTGCACCAGTTCAGCAGAACCGGTAGCTAATTTTTTGTTGCCCAGGCCCAGAATGGACTTCTGGAAGCAGCATCCACACAGAGAACCGGTTGTTTACATATCTGAATCCCACCATTGTCTAAGGCCATGAACAGTAGTCTAGAAACCTTCAGTGGTCTATATGGACATTGCAGATGAGCCTTGTGTGGAAGTCAAATTCAATATTTTTAAAAATAAAAGTTTCAAATCTCAAGAGAAAGTCAAATTTTGCAAGATTCTGGCCCCATATTATTTTTTTTTAAATGCCATAATAATTAAGTTTGAGAACCATTGTTCACAATCTGTCTTTTGTGTGTATTCTTGACTTCCTTGAACCTATTGACTTCCTTGTGCCTTGACTCTTTTGAATCGGTGCTTTGGACCTATGGACTTGTATTGACCTCACATTGCTATGATCCCTTTGAATTCTCTTAATTAAACAAGAATATCTTCTAGCACATAAAATTGTAAAATTGAAGAGGTCACAGCAAGTATAACTAGTATAACTGAAAGTCACACAATGTATTAGATCAAGTATGGGTTAATATTTTGACTGCCCATGTAATAAAGTATAGTTGGTATCTAAGTAATTGCAAAGTTGAAAGCATTTAGGAGTTTGAAATTAAGAAAAATTTCACATGTTATTTTGTGGCCTAGTTACATTCATCAACTGCATAATATTTCTTTTTCCTTTTTTGATATGGCATTTATAATTTCTTGCAGGTACTCTAAAATATTTCAAATGATGTGGGGACAGAGATATTAGCTAGGTAACTGACAATAGCGGTAATAAAATTATAATTTCATTAAGCTACATAGTTACAGAACTTGAAGTACTGCAACATGTCCATGAGAACTTCCCTCTCCTTCATTGCCACAAGGATGCTGAGTCACTGGGCTAAAGTGCATGTCCCAGTCTTTCTTACATATTATTTTCCAAGATGCTTCTAAAGGTTAACTAGCACATTATTCTACTCTAACTATTATAATTATAGCAAATGATTTCACATATCAGATTTTAAAAATATTTAATTCAATTGCTAAATAAAGTATACATTACTATACTTTAAGTGAAAGACTTGGAAAGATTTAATTTATTTAATAGTTCAATTTTTTTTCTCTTTAAGCAGTGGAAAAATGAACAAAAGCACAAACATACCCTCAAGTACCAAGAAAAACTAGAGAGTAACACAAAGTGATAACTAGGAATCACTAAAAATCCACATTAAAGCTGAAGTTTCTATGTCTTATTTTCCTGCTGCAAGAAACACAAGTTAAATGTGTCTACTCTAAAACTTCCCAGATTAATCTTCTAAGGTACAAGTCAATTGCATTCATTGATTTTCTATTCTATTCTTCAAGAATCATTTATATAAATCTAGTTTTATTTTTCTGAATTAAAGTATTGTGGCTGCAGTGACTCAACAGAAAAATATTACCAGACCAAATCAATCTTTCCAAATGGAAATATGCAATCCTTCAAAAAAAAAAGCTTATTGAACTATAATTCCTTCCTAACCCAATACATACCGATATTAATCATTTACAAAACTATTGATGAGAATGAGAAAATAAATACAAATCCTTTTGAATTATCATGAATTAATAATATATGTTTATCCTATTGATATTATACATAGATTTATATTATTAAGATTTTTATATCTTAAAAATATTATTTCTAAAATCTATTTTTCAACTGTCCTTAAGATTCATAATCTTCTGAAGGTGGTTTATAGTAAAAATAAACAAAAGCAACGAAAGCATATTATACACAAAGAATTTTAATTACAGTAAGTACTTTATGTAATATATAGAATGTTCATCAACTTTTTTATTTTTATTTTTAAAATACATTGGAATTACACAAATAAATTATAACTCACCAAAAATATGCTAAAATTAGGTATTATTGTTTCAAATCTTTGTCATGTGGAAAAGAATCCTAAAATTAACTACAATAGTTGTTTTGAATATAGATTTGCGAGCAGTTCTATATAAATTCTTCTTTCCTGAACAATCATAAAATACTTTAAGTCTTGTACTTTAACTTATTTTTTCAGAATGTATTCACATTTTAAAGCCTTACAGATGGGCTCCAAGAATGTGAGCCTCAATGTAGGAATAACGCAGTTATATTAACTCTCTTCTCTTTAAAACTGACCTTTCAATGTTGCCTAATATTCAATGATCAGAAACAGATTTTTAGGGAACTTTCTTTCTTTCTAGACATTTCAACTTGATCCATTCCATATGCTGATCATCCATCGTTAGGCGGATGTGTTATACAAAGTATTAACTCTTTGTTTTCTGAGCTAACCTGTAATAACTTCAGCCGAATGTAGCATGGAACACCAAGAAATAAAAGAATGAAACAATAAAGAGAGTCAATTAAAAGATCTTAGCAAAAGAAGTAGTAAGATACCTACTGTGTCTTGAGATTTATCCTTGACATCATAGACAGTTAGCTTTATTTTAGTCTCCTCGTAGATAGGGTAATCTGGGGGGAACGTCACACCAGTCAAAAACAGTGGGTCTTTTGTTCCCTGCATAGCATAAGGACATAACTCAGATTTAGCTAGGTAGCAGCTGTGTACCGTCTTATATTCAATTATGGTCAAGAGTAGTATAGTTACAGAGATTTCCAAATGCAGCACTTCTAGATGGGAAAGACAGATTTTGATTGTCAAAATGCAATCAAAAATGCAAAATATAATAGCTCTCAAAACACAGACAAAACATTTCAGGATGCAAAACTTAAATCTGCAACAATTAACTATTCCAGGTGATCATCTTAGAATATACAGTAGGAGGAGCAATTCATCCACTCATCCATAATCAAAGTTATATAATTTTGTACACATTTAGTTTATGCACTGACATGTTACATTTCTTGAGAAAATAAAAGGTAAAAACATGAGAGGCATAAACTAAACCAAAAGCATTTTTTTACATTTTCAGTGTTGCAAACTAATTATGAAAATGGGGGAAGATTCAAAAGTAGTCCATAATATTGCATAGCTACTTGTCCAACTTATGATTATTATAAAGATATTTTGTAACTTACGTTTGTAGATTTAACAGCTATATATTAGCTGCCTTGAGGCCAAGTACTGGTAATCTTTGACTTACAACCACAATTGAGTCCAAAATTTATGTTGCTAAGTGAGACATTTGTTAAGTGAATTTATGCCGCATTTTATGACCTTTCTTGCCATAGTTGTTAAGTGAATCATTGCACTTAGAAACACAGTTGTTAAATGAAGCTGGCTTCGCAATTGAGTTTGCTTGTAAGAAGGTTGCAAAAAGTAGTGATATGACCCCGGGATATTGCAACCATCATAAATATGAATGAGTTGCCAAGCATCTAAATTTTGATCACATGATCATCAGAATGCTACAATGGTTGTAAGTGTGAAAAATAGTCATAAGTCACTTTTTTCAGGGCTGTCACTAAATGAACTTTGTAAGTCAAGGATTACCTGAACTTGCATGCAAATATAAAAAGTAAAATTCCCTGGGGTTTCCTCTTACAAATAGGAAAGGATTCAATTTATATCTAAATGGTTTACTCCAAAAACCAAAACTCAACTTCCCATTTCACTCAGTTATGTTTCAGTCAGTTATCGGTGCTTTATATCAAAATAAGCCAGGAGCCATCCAGGAATGCATGCATCTGACAACCTAATTTTTAGAAGTCAATTTGAATGCAGTTGAGTATAATAAGTGCTTTGCTTTCTCTCCCAATATATATGTAAATACATTTTAATATGCACTGTTAATAGAAGATCATCTTTTTTTTATTCTATAAACATTACAAGAAGTACACAAAACAGAAAGGAGCAAACTAGATAATGCCATCTTTGCTTCAATTTGCTTATCAATTATGACAATATAAAACAGCCTCTGGAGACAATGCACTAGTGCAGGGGTCTCCAACCTGTGATCTCTGGCCTGCTACCAGGCCGCAGCCTGTTGGCCACCGGGCCGTGGGAATGGCTGGTGAGTGTGCGCACCCTCCCACTCATGCTAGTGGTCCCATTTGCGCATGCACAGGAGTGCTAGCAGATTGTTTGCACACATGCATGGGTGCTAGGGGCCCAACTGCACATGTGCGTGCTACGCCACAGCCATCAGTGTCACGCGGGCACTAGAGGCCTGTTTGCGCATGCATGTAGACGCTAGCAGACTGTTTGCACACATGCATGGGTGCTATGGGCCCAACTGCACATGTGCGCGGGTGCTAACAGCCCATTTATGCACGTGTTCAGGTGCTAGCAGCAATGCTTGGGCAGGTGCCAGAAACAGCACCAGTGACACTGCAGGTGCGTGCAGCCCACTTGTGCATGCACATGGATGCTAGCGCCACTGCCCTGAACATGCTCATTTGCGTAGCACATGCACATTTCCCTGCTCCTCCCTTTCCCTCCGGGCCACCAACCCAGAAAGGTTGGGGAGTTCTGCACAAGTAGTCCAATACACCTGACAATAACTTACTTGGGAAAGGCAGATTATAAATTGTAATATGAACAAATGTAATAAGAACAAAGTGCCTTATTTCAGATACAGGTAGTCCTCGAGTTACAAGTATAATGGAGCCTGCCCATTCTTGCCCCCTACTCCTTTCCGCCACTGCCGGAACAATTTTCACCAGGACGGAGATATTGGGAAATTGGAAGCTCTGTCTGCATGCAAATGCACACTTAGACACAGAGCGCCTCGCTTTTGGCTGTTTTCACAGGAAAAAGCCATTTCTCAAGCCCTTTCCTAATGGAAAAAAGCCTCCGGGGGGGAGCGTGCTCGCTCCGGAGATTTGTTTTCGCAGGATTGCTTTTGCTGATCACGTAATTTTGAACGAGTGTTAAGTGAACACTCGTAACTTGGGGATTACCTATACTGTACAAGATATATGAATATACATAAAATATATTAACATTTCTGTAATCAAACTTTTATATTTGTTTAAAACAATGCCTTTGTATTTTTTTGTTTCAAATTAATCAACAATTAAGAATCCAAACATTAGTGTATACCTTAAAACCCAAGCAATATTTATCAACAGCAATAGTACTTAGACTTATATATGGCTTCATAGTGCTTTATAGCTCTAACTGGTTTATAGTGTCAGCATATTGGATCTTCATTTTGCCAATCTCGGAAGGATGGAAGGTTGAGTCAACCTTGAGCTGCTCAGAATCAAACTCCTGGAGTGAACAGTGAGTTAGCCTGCAGTACTGCATTCTAACCACTGCGCCACCACGGCTGTTAAATGTTCCTCTGCAAAAATAACTTTATTTTTACAGGAAACACTGCAGTTATTCACACTAGTTAAATGAGGAAAAGAAAGGAGAGGAAAGGAGAAAGGGGAAAGAATCACCTCCACAATTTCCGTGCTTGCATATCTTGTTTGGTTTTGTTCCCCTGGATGCACTATAATGATCTGCACAAATGTATTCAGTTTTCGATCTCGTGTAGGAGCCACTAAATCTTTACATGCTGGAAATGGTATTGGGGAGGGGGAGAGAAAAAAGAGAGAAAATCTCATTTAAAAAACCCCTAAATCACAATGAGCACATTGTTGTGTGAGAGGCAGGTTGAACAATGTTTTGAAGCTCTAGAGACTTAAGCCGATTTAACAGAGGAAGTTTCTTAGAAATACTCCACAGAAATAGGAAGTCACATACTGCAATCTATTTTTTTTTTAGAAAATTTTATTGATTTTTTTAATTTTTTAGTTTTACATTGAAAAGCAACGTGGCAGCTGAGTTGGTCAATAATTCAATAACATACAAATATCTTTAGTACAGATCTCAAACTATTACATTAAATATTTCCTCTCTTTTCCCCTTGGTATTTACTGTCTCATATTTAAATTAATACAATTCTTATTATATCGATTAAATAAAAATAACTTTCTTACATTTATCAATAATTTTTGTTTATACATATCCTAGTTGTTTTAACATTCAATCTTTTTAGACAATCCAATGTCCTGGTTAGTTTTTCCCCATTTTTAGTTTCCCATTAATATTTAAATTTAATGTTTAATATTTATAATTTCCAAGTTTCAAATAACCCCAATTCCCTTTATCACAATTTATCACAAGATCTAATGTTCAGGATACATGTCTTATCTATTTGAATTCTCACCATCTTACATCAACTAATTAATAATACAATATAATATTCTTATTTTCTGGTAATTTCCAAATATCTTAAATAAAGTAACCAAAATTTCTCTTATTTCAACATTTAATACTTCCTCTTTTTCTCTTAATAGCTATTATCTCATATATAAGCTAGTAATTTTTATTATTACCGCTGAATAAGAACATATTTATTACATTCATTGATAAATTCTTAGCTTATATATATCTTAATTACCTTTACATTTAACTTTTATAAGCAAATCAATGTTCAAATTTAACTGTTAATATTTATACTTCAAAGTTTTAAATGACCAGTTTTCTTTATCTCAACTCATAACAATATCTAATATTCAAAGTACACATCTTATCTATTTGAGTATATTCTATTTTAATTCTCGCTAATGTCAAAACCCCAATTTTCTTCAGTCTTATTCTAGTTATACCCAGCTATAAAATTATTTTCATCATCTGATTTCAAAGTCTTCAACTTAACGTACCATTAAGATAAGATGGATGAAGACCAGGAAAAGATTCTTTCCATGTTAAAAGCAATACATGAAACCATCCTTTCAGCTTGTGATGAAATAAGATGTTACAGAAAAAAACAAGATGTCAGCTTAGATATACAAACACAAATTCTGACTACAACTAAAGATCTAACAACGCAGAAGGTAACAGAAGAAGTAGAACAATCAAATACTAAGACAGAGGACTCAATTGACCAACAAATACAATCAATGGAATATCCAGAAAAGGGACTGACAACACTGAAAATGGAAAAGACTTTCTATATAAATCAGAAGAAATTTGAGGAGCAAGAAGAACAGACTGAATGGAAAATAAACATACCATGACAATTATGGGGATTTGGAATAATAGGGAAACGATTTAAGGAATACAAATGGGCTAGCGCCCTTCCAAAAAAATGGCAACTAAGTGGTCTCTCTTATTCTAAACAATATATATAATAATAGATGATGATTTAAAAGCGTTGACATGGAAGGCTAGCTGGCAAAGAAAGAAAGCCCGAATAAGACTGAAGAAAATTGGTGTTTTGATTTATCAGAGGGGATTTTATATTACTAACTAGAGGATCAAGGGAGAAGTTGAGATAAGGGAAATTTCATTAAATTTAAAACATTTGGAAATTAGCTGAAAATAAGGATGCTATTTGTTTAATACTTAAAAATTAGACCAAAAAGAAAAAAAATATTATGGATATGTTTGATTTATTGATTAACTCAGACAATATATATAATGGGCTTTGATTTATTAAAGGGGATACTGTATTATTAATTAGATGATGTAAGATAGGGGGAAATAGATAGCTTCTAGGAAATAGAACAAGATTATACCCAAATAGATAAGATGTGTACTTTGAATACCAGATTCTGTTATGAATTGAAATAAAGGAAACTTTGGTTACCTAAAACCTGGAAATTATAAATATCAAATGTTAAATTTGAATATTGATGGGAAACTAAAAATTGGGAAAAACTAATAATAGGACATTGATTGACTGTATAAGATTGAATGTAAAAGTAATTAAGATATGTATAAGCTAAAATTTATTGATAAATGTAATAATGATGTTTTTATTTAGTTGCTATAATAAGAACTGTATAAGCTTAAATATGAGATAGTAGATATTAAGGGAAAAAGAGAGGAAATATTGAGGTTGTAGTTTGAAATTTGTACTAAAGATTTTTGTATGTTACTGAACTATTGATTAACCCAGCCACCACATTGTTTTTCAAATACCTAAAGGTAAAAATAGAAAATTAATAAAAATATTGTTAAAAAAAAGAAATTAAGAACAAGATAAGAAAATATAGCTAAATATTGTTCATAACATTTAACATTATACCTTCATACCTATGAACAATATTGTAACAAATATTGTTCATAACAATGTTCATTATACCTTTCCAAACATTCCCTAGACTTGCAAACCATCCATTATTTCCATGCTTTATTTAGATCAATTCACACATTATTTCATTGTTGAAAATTCTCATTTTTCTCTTTTTCAGGACTTGTCTTTTCTTTCTCCCAGTCTATATCATATATTTCTTTTGAGATATGATGTAATTAATTCTTGAGACTATACATCCTTCATACTTGTCACTCTTTGTATATCGATCCACATTTATTCAGCAGCTATCCATTCTAGCTTTTTCTATTTCACCATATTTGGTATGCAGCATGGGACAATTTGCAGCGGCCACATCTTTGCACCAACATCACTGTAGGCCCTTCACCACAGCCAACCCACCAGAAGCTTTCATCTTTGGCTGACTCTCCACTGGCGCTTCTCCCCCACCCCCTTGTCCTGGGTCAGTGGTGGCGAACCTATGGCATGGGTGCAAGGGGCGGCACTCAGAGCCCTCTCTGTGGGCATGCACGCCGTTGCCCCAGTCCTAAGCCTTCAGCTGGGTTTTATAAAACCTTTTCACTTTAGGCTTCCGCTGCCATGTGCAAAAAAAAAAAAAGGTTCAATCAGTCAATTTCAACTTCTCGTGGGAAAAAAAAATCTTGCAAAGTTGGAATTGATTGAAGTTTTTAGTCCCACCCAGTCTCCCGTTACCACCGCAGCCACACCCACCCAATGGGCCACGCCCACCCCATAGGCCACACACCCCGGCAATTGACGATGCATAAATGGGTTTTGGGTTGCAGTTTGGGCACTCAGTCTCTAAAAGGTTTGCCATCAGTGTCCTGGGTGATTCACCAAGGAACGCTTGTCCTCAGGCAATTCACTACATGGGACAACTAGGCGCATCTCCTGGTTGCTGGGTGGGGCACTGGACTGGGACATGGGAGACACGGTGACTGCTGGCCACACAGCACCTCCAGCCAATGGCCCTTTGAAGCAACAAAGGGGACAAAGAAGGATGGGAGGCTTGTCACTCATTCCCTAGACAATATTCTTGAGGATACTGAATTCTGCTAAAGAAAAAGTGCAAAGTTATGGGAAACATATTGTTCAAATTAAGAACAGTTCAGACAGAAAAGTTTTGAAATACCTTTCATAAAGGAGGCACACTATGTTTTTCCCTTTTAATTCCTTTATATTCGATTAGGAAATTACAAAATTCTCTCAAAAATACTTCCTACTTGGCAATTAGAATTTAAAACTTACTTATATGTTTAATTATTATGTTTATTCATAGAATTTCCAAAATACTGAAAAGCGAAAATTAATAGACAAAATTGAAAGCAATAACATTACAGTTTTAATGGAAGGATAGGTGGTTAGCCTGTCCCTTCTCAGCAGTGACCCGTAAAATTGCTACTTTTTCCATGTAGCAATGATACTTTAAATGAATTTTCATTGTCTACAATGGAGAAAGTTTAAAGTAGTGCCAAACTACTTAGCTAAAATTAGCTGCTTGCTGAACATTAAATTTTTCCATCAAGATAAGAGAATAGCATGGATGGCCTGCCAATAAAATTTCAGGACTAAAAATTACATAAGCCTGCTTAAATATATCCCAAGGCAAGTGAGGAAATTGTACAATTATTTCAAATTGTCTTTGCTAAAATAGTTTCCATCATCATCTTGCTACTTCTATGTAATGTCAAGCACATTCAAATAGACTGTTGATAAACAGAAAAATTAAACAAGTAATATAAAGATTTGCCAAGTGATGCTTGATAATAGACTTTTTATCTTAAGTATATTTTTTTTCCAATGATCTCAAACCTCTAGTCTGAACTACCATAGTGTTAATATGAGGTAAAGTCCATGCAAAAGTCCACCAGAAACATTCAAGCTTTTCCTCAGCCACAAATCTATGAATAAACAAACTTTCCAGGAACCTAATACTAAGATGAAGTTTTTCTAAATCTGAACAAATATCATATTCAACATGGTTCAATTTTTTTAACTACTTATATTTTGATAACTTCTCTGCAGTTTCAATAATTTTCCTTCTGCTTGAAGTATAATAAAGATACCTCAAAGCTTCTTAATTAACCAACCTAGAATGTCAGCTAAAAAGCTTTTTCTAATACTGATAAAAATTGTAAAATAAGCATATTCTGTGATCAATAGTATACATAGTTACATTCAGAAAAGGCTTTTATTCTTCAGCCATCTTATAAAATGTCATAATCTGTCTCACTCTCTTTTAAAGATTAAGAAACATTTGATTTGTTCATACTACTCTAGTGGCCACAATTTTCTAGTCAGACCACAATGTTGATTTTTATTTCTGCATAGTAATTATATATTGTACTTCAAAAGATATTTTTGCTATGAAAGTTGTTATGGCTAGATACAAATATTTTGTATGCAGGTTGCATATATTTCTTCTTATGTTAAGCATAACATACATTATGCAGGAAACTCCAACATGTCTCTATTGTTTTTTGAATTCAACAATATTCAAATCATTTTATTTTTATTGTATTCATTGTTTTTTTACTTAGGGTTAAAACCTCTGAAGCTAAATGAAATTTTAGGCAGGCTGGAAAGGACTGTAATGGGGAATAACTGTTCCACTTTATTCTGCTTTTCCCAGACCCCAGTTCAAGAAGTCTTTCTGGTTCCAGGAACAGAATTCTGAAATGATTAAGAGAAATTGAAAGGCTCCAAGAAAAAAAAATCCTACAAAAAAAGGATAAAGAGTATAGATATAATTATAATTTATTACAATTATAGCTATATATTATTACATATATCTATATATTATAATTATATTATAAAGATACAATCTCTTGAAATACCTGATCAATATCATAAGAGAAAAAAATCAGATAGGAAGAAATCAACTTCTTTATACCAATATTCCTAACGATCAGTTGTTTTTTATTTTGGTTCACTTATGTCCAATTCTCAGAACTTGCCTGGACAAATCCCTGCACGCTTTTTGGCAAGAGTTTTTGAATATAGTTTGCACGTGCCACTTCCCTAGGGTTGCAAGAAGCGACTAATCCAAAGTCATTCACCTGGCTTTGCATCTAAGACAGGACTAGTCTCTGAGGCCTTCACCATTACAACCAAACTGGCTTTTAGCTATCAACCTAGTATCCTGTTAGAACATAAATCATAAAAATAGATTGAATCCATGGCACAAACTAACCAAGAAGTATACTCAACATCTTTAATGTTGCAAAATTTAACCAAAATGTCATTACTAAAAGCGTTCAAAATAAAATTGACAAATAACAGAACACGACAGGGTATTCAGAAAACCACCTTTTCTTAAATAACTGAATGTATAAATACATTTAAGTTTAAAACTTTTTCATACTTCTTACCCTCAAAATACATAGCTGCTTCTTCCTTGTTATTTATACTTTGTTTTAATGCAAAGGGTTTTTTGTGAAATTCAAACTATAATAATAAAACAATATATGATTACTGTAAAAGAAGAATTTAAAACTATGCTTGTTAAAAATGGTTAAATCTCAGCAGAATCCATTCAGCTGTTAAATAAATTTACAAGTTCAGATATCCATAGATTTTGTTTTACTTAATACACAATTTAACAACATGAGCTTTGTTATCCAAAGCTATGAATTCCAGTTGGAACAAACCTTATACTTCATTCAACTTTACCAATGTTTCATGTGACTGATATAAAACTTTGTGGTATATATATCGACCAGAAGCAAAGGTCCAAAAAAGGACCAACTCCACCCACAAAAACAAAAACAAACCAGAAGTAAAAAAGGCTAATTTAATTACTTAACCTTAATAGTAATAATTACTATTATCAGTAAAATTAAGCGCCCCTTTTATAAAATTAATTGATGTCCTATCTTTATATAGTGACCATTCTCTGTCTCCTGAATAAATCCCTCTCAAATACAAAACCTCAAATACTCCTAGGTACACATACACACAAACATACACACCTTTCATTCCATCAGAAAAGAGCAAAACAATAGGAAAAATTTGAAGGTGATAGGAAAGATAGCTATGGGAAAGAGAATTAGAAAAACAAGAGCGGAGGTCATGGGAAAATTAATAAAAGAGAAAACCCTATTTAGGTGTTTGAAAAAGGCAAATACTTTGTTTAAGCAAGAGCTAATCCTTTGCAACAATGACATCTATAACCCTTTACATATCTGTTTTATCTTTGTTCTAGTACTTATTATTTTTATTTGGTAGGTGCCTATATGTAAGCGAAGTACAAGACTTATTTCTCCAAAGAATAATCCTGTTGAATGACAGATAATAATTGTCCCAACCTTACCAGAGAACCTCCATGAATGACTGGGAATTTGAACGTGGATCATAACATCATACCATTTTACCACATTGGCTATCAGTATGTAAGCATCTTCTGTTTTTCCCAGCAACTTTAAGATCCCCTGCCACACACAAGGATTATTTGGGAGAAAATAATTTCATATTTCTATATGATAACTATTTTTATATACGTCTATAAAGATGGCCTATTTCTTTGAGAGTTCTTTCTCTAACTAGTTCAGGATATTATTATTCAGCAGAAAAATAGAGGCATTTGTCAAAATCAGGACAAGGCTTATTAATAGAAAAAAAGATGAAGAAAAAACATCTAATACATTTTGATTACAACACAAATTTTCTGTGAAAGCATTTTCTGTTGTTGGGATGCTTTGTCATTGATAATTGCCTCCTCTTAGAAGCCACTCAAATGGGAAAAATAAATTAAAATATCCCACCTACTGTGGTGATTTATTTCTTCTACCTGAACTTCAATGTATAGGAGAAAGGCAGGCAGGAAAGAAAGTTAATACTACATTATTTCTCTATAAAGAAAAGGAAACTATAACAAAATAAAAAGTGTCACTGAATCTTCTACTGATTAAAAAATCAGCACTTTATGGAGAAGAACTATATCTAAGATATCATAAAAGTAATTGAAGATTCATTACAAATTATTTCAGAAATATCACTTCATTTTCAGACTTTCTAAAATAAAAATATGTTTTAGAAATATTAACATAGATTGAATATTTTGTCTTACCAAGACTGAATTCAAACTTTGGTTCATTAATAAACTTCTTGAGACCTATTGGTGAAAGCATATATTATATTACATTATTATTCATACATGAGAATATTTAAGGAATATAACATTATAACATTGAGGAAATTATTCTGTCAGCAGCATTTTAAACTATCAAACAAAAGCTGCCCTTCTCCATTTTTTTTTAAATCTATCACTATTTTACTAACTGGAATTATTTATACCCAACAAACACATTTTATCACCACTTTTTATTCACACCATTCATTATTCAGGTTACATGCTCATTCCTTCCCCATAGTAATGAAAAGCAAAACAGATTTTCACTTCAGCAGGTTACATGACTATATATTGAATACTATAAACATGTTAAAGTACTTTATATTCTTTAATGGGATTAGCCCATCCCACTTGCTCCTGCGGAAGACGCCTACTTCAGATCCTTCTGCCAAAGAATTTTGCCTGGCATAGTTCAGGAGAAGAGCCTTTTCTGCTATGGCCATTCCCTGCGGAACACTCTACAACCAAATATAAGGTTGGCCTCCACTCTCCTGCCCTTCAGGAAGAGCCTTAAAACCTGGTTCTGCCAGCTGGGATGGAGTCCTGCAAGGGCTGTTCTATGCTGGGGATGGCTGACAGGGTAGAGAGAGGATTCCCACCCCATATTGCCTGTCCTGTTGGTTTTTACACTTTAACTATTTTGTAATTTTAATTGTTTTGTATTATAGTTTATCAATTTATAACCCACTCAGAGTGGGATGGGTCGCATATAAATCTAATAGATAAATATTGCAAAGTAAAATAATATAAGATTATGAAGAATTTTAAAACGAAATGTGGTTGTCTAAATCTCATAAATTCCAATGAACTTATTTTTAGTCCGCGGAAGACTACTGTTAAAGCCAACATGCTCAATTTAGTATGCTTAATTTAGGATATCAAGACTTTTGCTACTTCATTTAGAACAGCAAATACAACTGTTACTACATCATTAACTGTTGTAAAGCTTTTTGAAGCAGCTTCATAGTAATAGAGCAATGATGACCACACTAAGCTAAATATCTAATGATTCAGAAGTACAATCAGCAGGGTTCAGCAGACTGAGATATGAGATTTGGAGCTAACATTTTTTCCAATCTTATTGCCAATTTGTAAAATGGAAATATATATTTTATCTATGATATGTGATGAAAGTCAGTACCTACACATTTAGAATAAGTTTTTCTAACGCCATTCACAGGATCATGATACAGCAGATAGCTTATGTACTGAATTTACTTACTTGTGAGTTTAGATTCTGCATAACTATCTCCTTGTGCAGATGGAATAAATTGCTGTTCTTCCTCTGATGCTCTCTCTTCCTTGATATCCATGATAAATCTCTCAACCCAACAAATTTTAATACACAGTTCTTCAGAATTTGCTTGGGTGCCACAGCCCAAGATCCACAGATAGTCAGTCCTTGGTGAAGCTTTAAGATAAAGATCTGGGTCTTCAGGCTGAAATTCTGTGTTCAGAAAACATTTGACAAAGTTTTATTAATCCAAACGTTATCATACATCTTTTTGAAAATTGTCAACATGATGTTTCTAGCAACAATTTTGTACATCTTTTCCACCTGTCACCAAAACATAAATAATCAAGCTGATCTTTCATAATCAATCCTGGAAGTAGATGGCAGCATGAAACCTCTATTTGGTACATTTTGTCAGGCCTCTCTGGGCAAGACAAAGAGCCGCAAAACGTATTTCCCAGGAGATAAAGGCTCAGATGAATAGATGTACTGTTACAAAACTATAACATCATTATAAAACAATTCCACCACCTGCAGTGTATAAAATGCAAGCTCAGTTTATAACAATCAGTGTTCAAATTTCTTTTGCTATTTCTCCTGCCCACTTTATATAAAGGACTAGAAAGAAATCTCTTTGGGTAGGAAATACAATTTCCATCTATTCCTGTTTTTGTTTTGTTTTTGTAACAACAGAATTTTATTTTGAGTTGTTTACTTTTGACTGTATAAAAACTAAGTTTCCTGTTTAGAATTTCAGCAGGTTTTTCCACGCTATTAACTTTAAAAAAATATTTTGCAGTCTGAACAGAATTAGTCAAATGGGTTTTGAGATTCATTTGAGAAACAAGTATTCATTATTTGTTTTTATTAAAACTATACCTTTCACATTTTATATATTCTTGTCAGAATCTTGTTAACCCTAACCTAGCCATGATCATGAAAACCATGTTGTTTGACATTATAAAAATTGAAACCTTCACTGAAACATCCCTTCTTCCAGTCCCCAAGTTTCCATAAAACGAGCAAAACAAATTTCTGTTCTTCAGAGATATAAGGAACTCCACTGTAGAACTCGAGAGATCAGTAGTGCTTTGCTTATTTGTTTTCTGATTTTGGGAAAAGAATACCCATCTTCCCCACTATAATCGCCTTCTGTTTATGGCAAATTAAAAGGAATTACAAAGCTGATTTCCGGTTTGCCATCACAGACACCGCGGGCGCTGGAAGGCGAGTTCCATCTTCCACATCCGATTTCACACCACTTGGGGACCCTGGAAAGGGTCGAAAGTTGCCCTATAGGGGCAACCAGCAAGAATGGGATCCCCGCTTGATCGCGGGAGGGTCGTAGCCCTTCTGCTCGATCCATGGCAGCTGTCCAAACTGGCGGATGAAAGATCGGCCATAGAAATATGGCTCGTCACATATTTCAGACAGCCAAAATCAAACTTACCACCAGGCACTTCTAAAGCAGCGCGGATGAGACTGGGTGAGATCTGAACCTCTCTTTAATCCCAAGTACTTTTTTTTTCTCCTGCAAAAGCTGAGAAAAAAAAAGTACTTGGGATTAAAGAGAGGTTCTTTAATCTTCCCCCATGAGGAGAGAGGGAAGGGAACTTTTATCCCACCATCTAAGAATAGCAGCAACTGACTATCCAGGGGAGTTAAAACACTGAAAAAATAACCTTAATCTAACTGGATTTATATGCTTCTAGAATTTGGGGACCAAAAGATTTCTTATCCTTATCCAAGACCTTGGTTTTTATTTACAAAAAAAGAAATAAAATTGGAAAAAGAATTATAAAAAATTTGGACTTAAAAAAACTTAAATGGCATTTATGACATCTTGTGGCTAAGTTTGATATTACAACTTGTTATTGTCTAAAGGAGACTTGGCTGGAAGCTCAGACTATAGATAAGACTTTTTCAACCTTGACAATTATCAGCTGTGAGAAGCTCAGCTGTGTTCTATACTCATATAAAATTATTTTCATTCTCTGACTTTAAAGCTCTTAATTTAACACACTACTAAGAGAATATGGATGAAGACCAGGAACAGATTTTCCTTATGTTGAAAGCAATACATGAAACCATTCTTTCAGCTTGTGATGAAATAAGATGCTATAGAAAAGAAAAAGATGGCAGCCTAAATATACAAACTCAAATTTTGACTACAACTAAAGAATCAACTACACATCTCCAACATTTGGGTTGCACGTCAGGATACATATAAGACATTTTTTGTGGATCAAGGTGCCATCTATAAAACATTTTATAAAAATTCTCCCTTAAGTTCTGTGCTTGAGTAAATTTGACATTTCTCACCCAAATAGTTTCCCAGGTGTCCAATGAAACTGGCTCACCAAAATTCTGCGCCCATCTAATCATACAATCTTTAATTAGTTCCGTTTCTGAGTCCAATTCAACTAAAACCCCATAAATTCTCTTAATGTGGGTTTGTCTTTGATCCTTCAGTTGCTTAATAAGATTTTCATCTTCTCTAAGAAAACCCACCTTACAATCCATCTTCCATCTATCTAATAGTTGCCTATATTGGAACCAAGAATAAGTAAAATTTTCTTGTGCTAACTCTTCCCGTGATTTTAATTGCCAGTTTTGTCCATCCCATTTAAGTAACTGTCTATAAGACACCATATCCATTTTAACCCCTCTTTTTATTCCTTCTATCGCATGCCAAGGTATAGCCCATAATGGTACTTTAAAATCACTTTTATAATATTTTCTCCAAATCCTAAGTAAAGAAATTCTTAAAATATGAGATTTAAAAGCCCAATCTATTTTTTTATTAAATATTAAATAGGCATGCCACCCATAAAGTAAATCCCATCCCTCTAAATAAAGTATCTCAGAATTTGTCAAATTTACCCAATCACTAATTAATGTTAAAACCACCGCATCATAATATAATTTCAAATTTGGTACCTTAAGTCCACCCCTCTCACGGAAGTCTTGCATAATTTTAAACTTAACCCTTGGTTTTTTCCCTGCCCAAATAAATTTGTTGAGACCCTTCTGCCACTCATTTAAATTAATCTCATTTTTCAAAATTGGTAACATTTGAAACAAAAAAAGAAACTTGGGTAGAATATTCATTTTTATCACTGCAATTCTTCCCATGAGGGATAATTGCAACTTTTCCCAATTCTTCAAGTCCTTCTGTACCCTGACCCACAACCTTTCATAATTATTTTTAAATAATTTTGCATTAGAAACAGACAGCATCACCCCCAAATATTTTACCTTATTAACAATCTCAAAACCCGTCAAGTTGACCAAAATCTGCTTCTCCTGACTCGACATATTTTTAGGTAAAATTTTAGTCTTATTTACGTTAATCTTAAAACCCGAGACCAAACCATAATGATGAATCAACTGTAATAAGTTTACTACAGAATAATCAGGTTGCGACAAAGTAACAACCAAGTCATCCGCAAAAGCTCTCAACTTATATTCTTTTTTATTAACATATATTCCTTTAATTTCCTGAGACTCTCGAATTTTGATCAATAATATTTCCAATGTTAAAACAAACAACAATGGCGATAAAGGACACCCCTGTCTAGTACCTTTCTCTATTGTAAAAACCTCCGACAAACCTCCATTGTGGTTATAAGGAGGCTTCTTATTATCATATTTGGTGGTCATGCAGAGAGATAAAAGCATTTTGGATTAAAATATGGTGGAATATCCAGAGAATTTTTAGAAGGAGGGTAAAATTTACTCCGCAATTATTTTTGTTAGGTATTGTTACAGATTGTGATACAAAGGAGGTTGTATTGATGTTAAACTTGATCACAGCCGCTAGGCTGTTAGTAGGACAATACTGGAAGAAGGAATCTTTGCCTACATTGCAGGAATGGTTTCTTAAAGTAGCTTATCTGGCAGAAATGGCAAAGATTTCGGCTTTCTTAAAGCAACAAACGCAAGAGAAGTTTTTTGCTGTTTGGGATAAATGGATAAAATTTATACAATTTAGATTGGGTATACAAAAATATTATATAGTTTTTTCATAAGTTTTATTTTCATATATATTATAGATAATTTTTTTATATATATAAATATAAAGTTTTTAATTTAATTTTTATTTTTATTTTTTAAGCCTATATTCTGCTCTGGGAAGCTCGGGGGGGGGGAAGGGAGGGTTTTTTTTTTTTTTTTTTTGGGAGGGCTGGGGGATGGGGTTTTTTTATTTATTTAATATATGTATTGTTTAGTTTTATTTTTCTGTATATGTTGCCTTTTGTTTTGTATTATTTTTCCTTTTTTGTAAAATTTATAAAACTTTCAATTAAAAAAAAAAAAAAAAGAATCAACTACACAAAACATAACAGAAGAAGTGGAACAATTAAATACTATGCCAGACGATTCAACTGACCAACAAATACAGTCAATGGAAAATCCAGAAAAGGGACTGACAACATTGAAAATGGAAAAGACGTTTTATATAAACCAGAAGAAACTTGAGGAACAAGAAGAACAGACCGAAGGGAAGATAAACATATGGGGATGTGGAATAATAGAGAGACGATTTATTAGCCCTTCCAAAAAATGGTGACTGGATGGTCTCTTTTATTTCAAATAATATATATAATAACAAAGGGAGATCTATTTGATGACCTAAAAGCACTGACATGGAGGACGAGATGGCAAAGGAAGAAAGCTAGAATAAGGTTGAAGAAAATTGGAGTTTTGATTTATCAGCGAGAATTTTATATTACTAATTAAAATAGAGTATACTTAAATAGACAAGATGTGTACCTTGAATAGCAGATTTTGTTATGAACTGAGATAAAAAAAACTTTGGTCATTTAAAACTTGGAAACATAAATACTAAAAGTTGAATTTGAATATTGATGGGAAATTAAAAATTGGGGAAAAGAAATAAATAGGATATTGATTGTTTATAAAGATTGAATGTAAAAGTAATTAAGATACGTAATAAGCTAAAAGTTTATTGATAAATGTAATAAATATGTTTTTATTTAATTGAAATAATAAGAACTGTATTAGCTTAAATATGAGATAGTAGATATCAAGAAAAAAAGAGGAAATATTTGATGTTGAAATAGGGGAAATTTTGGTCATTAAATTTAAGACATTTGGAAACTAGTTGAAAATAAGAAATGTAATGTATTTATTATTAATTAGATGATGTAAGATGGTGGGAAATAGAATATACTCAAATAGATGTGTAT